TGTACTGTACTACATGTACATGTATTACTAACAGTAATATCCTGTTTTGTGGATTTAACTAAATATCTATAAGTATTGCTCATAGTTTTGTTACTATGAACTTTCAGTCAGTCAATTCCAGCCCTCTATCTTGCATCTGAAGTAGTTCATTGATTCTTATAATACGTTTCTTTAGTTGGTTTGGTCATTAATCCATTTAGTATATTTTCATTCTTCTGTTCTTTCATAATTAAATTTCCATCCCTTGCAACTGATCAAATAGTGACCTTAGCATGGAGGAATATTCGTTTCTTTTCAGAAGTCCAGTAGAAACAATGATGCAGGTGACAATAGTGATGATGGTGATGACTACGACAATGATGAGGACCAAGAGGTAATTTTGCCTTTCTTAGCTTGTAATCATAACATACAGTGTACATACGTGTGTACAGGTCAGGTACACTGTATTGTAGGTTTTGTCATCTCATGTACATGTAGTCTCTCAAACTCTGCAAGTTCTATATGAGGGGAAGGAAGGCTTGTGTAGCCTTGAAATCTGGAGAAGGTGTTGTGCTCTACTGTCTAGTTTTCTGATTTGAACCAACTACGTGTATGAAACTTTATCCACAGTGCAACAAGATTGTCATTGTAGTCATTAACTTATTTCTGTCATTCATGCTAAGGGTAAATTTCTCTTTTTTGGACATGATTTGATTCACATCCTTGGCTTACACTGTATTTCCTTTCCCACAGTTGGAAAAATAGCCAGGGAACACAGACTGATTTCCAGCTTTTTTATTAAAAGCCGGAAATCAGTCGTTGTTCACAGGCTTTGGGAAAAATTCACAGAAGATGTACAATTAGTTAATACTGTATGTAAATCTAGTTCATTACTAACATTGATCAGTGTGATAAAACAATGATCAAATGAAGGTAATTGTAGTTTAATAAAAGAAGTTGAAAATGTTTTGAGTTTTGAATGGTCCAGTCTCAGGTCACCCAAGCATAATATCAGCCTTTGTATGGAGGATAGGAGTCGAAGTTGTCCACTGTGTGACAATTAATGATATATTGAATATATTACATACATGGACATTTGAACTATATAATTATATTATTTTGTTTCTGTTTGTCTGTCAGAGTATTGAGACAAGGATACCTATCAGCCATGAAATTTCTTTGGACCATGGGAACAAAACAGTTGAGTGTACAAATATTACTCACAGTTATAGTAANCTCGTGCTACAACCCCACCTGTCATTTATAAATTGACTTTTTAAATCAATAATAAGTAAGCGCAAGGGAGGGGTTTCCTGTCATTGACGGTGGAACTGTCCAAAGTTGGGTGCCATGACTCAGAGAAAAGCCTCTTGTGGTAGTTGTTAACACCACGTTCAAGGATCTGGGCATCTCCTTTGTTTTGTTTTACCTGAAGTTTAAATTATTACGATCAAAGAATCATAATTATTACTAACTAGAGTTATTTTGCTCTTCAGGTGAAATTCTGGGATTTCAATGCAATGGATGCATCTCGTCGAGCCTTCAGAACTCTACAGCCTTTTGAGTGTCATCAGATCAAGTCTATACAGTACAGTATTACTGGTGATGCTGTTCTTATTGCTGCTGGAAATGCACAGGTGATGATGAAATATTTATCTCATACTATTCATAACAATTGCCATTTAAGGGGTACCGAAAGGGTAGCAAATGGTATCAGGAAAATCTTGGTTCTTAGACAATTTTTGAATGCTTGATCTCAAACTCTCTCTCAGCCTTGGATTTTTAAAGGAGAGTCTAAGCAGCTTGGTGAGTTTCGTCACCCTCATTTTTATGTGACCCACAAAACATTCTAGGCCTAGTCTGGGAGTAAGCTCTTCCAGACAGAAAGGTGAGCTTTTTTGATACCCCCTAATCTTTTTTCCAGATGTCCTTATTTGTATCAATGCTTCAAGGTTGTATCAAAACACAAGAACGCCCAAAAAGAAATTTGAGTTCAAAAGTTGTGGTTTTCATTACAAAATAGNAGATGAGTTCATATCATGTAGCAATGACGGGTACGTGCAGGGTTTTTTCTTTTTTCCCTCCCTATGTCATACTTGTAATTGGTCCTTCTTGTGCAATGGGAGGTGTTTAATGCATTCACTTTTAAGTACTTTTGTCATATGTAAGTATGTAGCATTTAGTTATTTTTTTAAGCTTTTGCCTATTGTAGTCCTGTTCTATTTTTTATTTTTTGTGCATGACTTGTATAAGGCATTGCCATTTGATAATGGGTTAAAGTAATTTGGTAAGAACACCTTCTCTGTTTCTTGTGTGATTCTGAGCTTTCAGTGTGATGTAAAGATGTATGTCATTATGTAAACATACTGTATTTTTTTGTTATTTTCTCAACGTTCTCTGTGGCTATAGGACTGTGAGAATATGGAACACAGAAAACCCCAAGAAAAACAAAACTGTTGTCAAGACCAAGAACAAGCAAGGCAAGAGAATCTATGCAGCTCTATCCCCAGTGTACAGGTCTATGGCAATGTGTCAGCTTTATTTTGCAAATTGCAAATGATGTTAAAATTGTTTTTGTTGATTCACATAGGGAAGAAGACAATCCCTACACACTGCTGCTTTAGTAAGGATGGGCGAATAATTGCAGCAGCATGTCAAGTAAGCTAGTAATAAGTGGGTTCCTGTAATTTTATCAAGCACAATTTTACAATAAAGTATGACCAGAAATGAAATATTAAATTACTTGGTTTCATGAGACACTGTACATGTAATAGGAGCATGTGTTACTGTGTTGGACAGAGTTTCTTAAACTTTTGATACTACAGTGGAACTCTCAAACCTTTAAGGGAAAGAAAAAACAGTTCAATGAGATGTCAGTGGTTTGACATAGCCAATACTGAGTGACTGAAATTTAAGTATATCCAAGGGAAAATGATTTGAGGTTGAGATATTGGAGAGTTCGAGATAACAACAATCAAGATAGCAGGATTCTGCTGCAGCAGTAATACCTGCGCTTTAAACACTATTGTTTTTAATACTTCATCAGTGGTGTCATTTGTATTCTCCACTGCAGTGGTAATCTTTATTTTGTACATATTGTATTTCCCCCTAGGATGGATCCATTCAAGGCTGGGACACAAGAAGACCCTTTGTAAGTCCAGTGAAATCTCCTTAAATNAGCATTTAGTTATTTTTTTAAGCTTTTGCCTATTGTAGTCCTGTTCTATTTTTTATTTTTTGTGCATGACTTGTATAAGGCATTGCCATTTGATAATGGGTTAAAGTAATTTGGTAAGAACACCTTCTCTGTTTCTTGTGTGATTCTGAGCTTTCAGTGTGATGTAAAGATGTATGTCATTATGTAAACATACTGTATTTTTTTGTTATTTTCTCAACGTTCTCTGTGGCTATAGGACTGTGAGAATATGGAACACAGAAAACCCCAAGAAAAACAAAACTGTTGTCAAGACCAAGAACAAGCAAGGCAAGAGAATCTATGCAGCTCTATCCCCAGTGTACAGGTCTATGGCAATGTGTCAGCTTTATTTTGCAAATTGCAAATGATGTTAAAATTGTTTTTGTTGATTCACATAGGGAAGAAGACAATCCCTACACACTGCTGCTTTAGTAAGGATGGGCGAATAATTGCAGCAGCATGTCAAGTAAGCTAGTAATAAGTGGGTTCCTGTAATTTTATCAAGCACAATTTTACAATAAAGTATGACCAGAAATGAAATATTAAATTACTTGGTTTCATGAGACACTGTACATGTAATAGGAGCATGTGTTACTGTGTTGGACAGAGTTTCTTAAACTTTTGATACTACAGTGGAACTCTCAAACCTTTAAGGGAAAGAAAAAATAGTTCAATGAGATGTCAGTGGTTTGACGTAGCCAATAGTGAGTGACTGAAATTTAGGTATATCCAAGGGAAAATGATTTGAGGTTGAGATATTGGAGAGTTTGAGATAACAACATTCAAGATAGCAGGATTCTGCTGCAGTAGTAATACCTGTGCTCTAAACACTTTTGTTTAGTACTTCATCAGTGGTGTCATTTGTATTCTCCACTGCAGTGTTAATCTTTATTTTGTACATATTGTATTTCCTCCTAGGATGGATCCATTCAAGGCTGGGACACAAGAAGACCCTTTGTAAGTCTAGTGAAATCTCCTTAAATCTTTACACAGTTGGTGTTTGTGTAAACACCAATTTTTTCCCCTTTGGATTGATATCTGTTTCCACAGCTATACTTGAAAGTAGTTTACAGTATAACATAACTGATGTTACACAGTAGTACTGACGCTTCAAAGGAAAGTGGGGTCACGAAATGGGTGTCATGCAATGCTCTTTCTGATGCTGTCACACAGCACTTGTTTTTATTACACAACAGCAATGTCACACAATGTGCTCACACTCAGCATTGCTGTCATACCACATNGAAATGGGTGTCATGCAATGCTCTTTCTGATGCTGTCACACAGCACTTGTTTTTATTACACAACAGCAATGTCACACAATGTGCTCACACTCAGCATTGCTGTCATACCACATTGGTATCACACAACAACGATACATGTCACACAACATTGTGCTCACTCAGTGGCTGTCGCACAATGTATGCTGCCACACAAACTGTTGTCACATGATCAGTTATTTTCTTTAATTGTCAGCTGTCATGATCATTCAGGAACTTTACCAATAGGAGTTTGTTTCTTTGTTTTCCTTAATTAGATCCACACCACCTATCTACAGCGCACGGCTCATGCATTAGGAAGTGACACATCATGTCTAACTTTTTCACATGAAGGAAACATACTGGCATCAAGAGGAGGTAAGAGCAAAAGAATAAATTCAATTTATAAGGATGTTAAAACCACGTAGGGATCAGGTAGTACGCACATACACACTGTACACATAATCTTACGGACTGACCTCAATTGATATGATTAATATAATTTCCCAGCCTTTCCCTGTTCAAACCCAAACAAGTCAGTTACCGCCTTTCGGATATTGTTGCAACACATCTTTCCTTGTTTCTGTGGTTTCCATGGTTACCATACATGTAGTTACCATGGTTTATATCTTTTTCCTTTAGTTTTGGCTTAAAACACCTGTAGAGAAAACTGGGCTTTTGAACTACTTGGCTCGCAATTTCTCATTGGCTCACTGTTGTTTTTTATTTACATGAGGTGATGATACTCTGAAAATCTGGGATCTGAGAAACTTCAAGGAATATCTCAATGTTGCCATGGATTTANCCCGTTTTGGATACTGTAGAGTGTAGATTATAAAACTTGGATCAATGTTTGTTTGTGTATTTATTTGCCAGGACGTCATGTTTGTTTAGCCCAGATGGTAAAATGATTGTAACAGGAACTTCAATAAAGAAGGGACAAGTAAGTTATCTCGTAGTTAATAGAGGGAAATGGTTATGAAACCTGGCAAAAGATTTTTTTTCTATGTTTTTGTTTGCTATTTTGGGGGTTGACTCTGCACAAAATCTGGCAAAATACAAAAGCTGGTAGTGTATGCTCATACAACTAACCAATAGAAACACTGTGATTATGTAATTCATGCATAGTCATTGAGCATAAAACAAAAGACGTACAGGGTCAAGGACCTTCCAACATAAATCTTGGCCTGTTTGTTTGTTTCTTTGATGTTTACCGGCGTTCTTAACCATTTCCCTTTATTAACTATGGTTACCTTTGATAAACTGATGTCTTTTCTTTACATTGTTATGGCAATTTAAAGCTGTTTAATACTGTAGGTAGTGAGTTTTGGTTCTAGCAAACATAAAATGGCAAGTGTTAGGTATTCACTTGCGGCTGTAACACAGGGTACATGTACAATACACGAAGAAAGTTTGTACTTACTGCACTGACTTATTTCTCTTTTCATGTCCAGGGATCTGGCAAGCTTGTTTTTATGGAAAGAGACTCTTTACGGAGACTTTATGAGTTTGATGTGATAGAATCAGTAAGTAGAATTTGTATTTATGTGTCTGTTTTATGACTGTTTCTGTGCCTTTTCGGGCTTCCCGTTGGAACCATCGCTAAACGCTACACTCTTATGCAAAAACTCTTACACTGATGGTTTAAGGAGATCTCTGCAACCGCATTCTTCAAGAGTTGTGCAGGATAAATCTGTAAAAGTTTTTTTGTTTTGTTTTTCCTGGAACATTCGTAGAACGCTTCATTTGCGTGCATTGCACTCATTCGTATTCGACATCTGGTCCCTTAGAATTAGACTCGATAGTTTTCCGTGTGAAAAACCAGAAATTAAAACAAGGATAACGAAGTAATAGAACATTTTAGAAAACGAGAACGCTCGAAAAACGAAGCAGCGTCCGAATTTTAGCAAAGTGGCCTAGCTGGTAGCACGTTGGACTCCGGATCGAGTGGTAGGTTCGAGCCCTAGAGGAGGTCAATGCGTTGTTTTCCTGGGCAAGACACTGTTCTCTCATTGCCAAAGTATCTCTACCTACGAGTGTAAATAAGTTTTAGCGAACTATTTATGTAAAACCTGACAAAATGGTTAGGGTGACCCCACGATGGGTTACCATCCCATGTGGTAGAGGCGTCGTAGCTATGCCCTTATTTATGTGACCCACTTGTTAGTAAAACTGAAATTACTACTGAACATATATGTAATAGCGCTATATGCTTGCTTATTCAGAGTGTCGTTAGCTGCTTATGGCACCCAAAATTGAACCAGATTGTGGTCGGATGTGGAAATGGAACCTCTAAAGTTTATTTCGACCCTGAGAAAAGCAACAAGTGAGTATTCCGCTGCAAGTGTCGCTGCAAGTCTTTCTCTAAGCTCGATCACCAGCCGCTGCTCGAGAATGGAGCCCGCCCTNATTCGGAAAATTCAGCAAAACCGGAAGTAGATTTTGAGCCCAATCGGGTCGAAATCGTTTTTGGCGTATTTCTACCAAAGAAAGCTGTATTAGCAGAAAGTAACTATGGTCCGTTTCTTTTCTTGCTAGGACCCATCTATGGACAAAATACAAGCGAAATCAATTTTTCGACTTGTGCCATTGATAGGCGATTTAGGTCCATTTTTATTGGCATTCACTCTTAAACTCGTGAAACCCGTGCCTTTTTATATTCCTCTAACCTGAATAAGGACCCTTTTAGAGCGAAGCCTCACTGTTTTGTCCAATGTAGGAGGTNCCCCCCCCCCGGAGTTCAGCTAGTGACTAGGTCTTGGGATGTAAACCCACGAAGTCCATTGCTTTCAGCCATTTACAATGCCGATTTCAATTCAGATGTTTTGTGTGTTCCTTTGTCCAAAGTGTAAATGTATGAAGACCATGAAATCAGTTCTGTATGTTGAGACTTTCATGTTGACCAGCGCTTGGAGTCTCCTAAAGAGAGCTGCAATCAGCAGTGGAGCAACACAACCCTTGTTATCTTTGAACTCGAAATATCTTTTCAGTTTACTCATTCTAATTTTTTTTTTTTTTTTTTTTTGTAAAGCGCATTCCCTGCCAATGTTCCGTGAGAAGCGATTCCGAAGTAAGAAGAAAGTGAAGGAGGCAGACCGAAAAGATCCTGTCAAGTCGCACAGACCAGACCTTCCAGTCACTGGGCCAGGTAAGAGGTTCACTTTCTTTTGAAAGAAAACAGTTTCCCTTAGTGTACTATCCTGCCCGAAAAACTAATTGAGCCTACAATTCTGGTCAGCGATATCCGGGATCATTACAAGCATGCGCGACATTAGTTCCCTTTGCGACATTCCTCATAGCGCGATGTTGACGTCAGTCTGTGCGATGTTTTGATTGAATAAGAATGAGTTCCCGAAAATTGACTACTGTTTCTACAAGTGTTGCAACAAACGTTCCTTTTTCTGTCCTCGTCAAACAAATACTGAAAAACAATGTCAACATAAACAAGCAAAACTAAAGCAGCGGCAGCAATGACAACCTCGTTCCCAGGGTCTCTCATCTTACCGCCCCCTGGAGCGAGCGAGGAGAGGCGGTAAGATGAGAGACCCTGGGAACGAGGTTGCAGCAATGACAGGAGGAACAATTACAACTACAGTAGTGATACGCAATTATGGAATCAAGGATGGTTAGCAAAGAACAGTCTGCCCAAATTATTGTAGATTTGAACTGTTCATCTCGCTTCCGTCCCGTATAAGGTGAAGCAGTTTAGAATGCTATTGTCTTTCGCGACATATACTTGCAGTGCTCAGTTTTTCAATGCGTGGAATAATAATTACAAAGATTAGCTGTCGGAATTCCGACTGCTCTCGACAATGAATCGGCGGCTGTCAATCAAACGGTCTGATGTGTGAAGTAAATCCCAAGGTGCAATAAGTTAACAAAAGCACTCTAATTTAAAGGCGGCCTGCGCTCTTCACAAAGACTTTTGTCAACAAAGTCGTGTGCAGCGACATTTTCACTTTTTTT